TGTGCCGGGTAAAAATGAACCCGAGGCACGAAAAAAAAAGACTGGCCGACGAAAAGGTTGCTGTCCTGTCAGGCGGTGTGAAAAGGGAACTCGTGTGAGGAGGAGGCCCGAGGGCCGAAAACGGGTGGTACAAAACACAATAATTGTCAGTTGAGCCAAAACGCTCCAGTCCAAAATGATCCCGAAATTTGTCTACGACCCTCCGCCATGCCTGTCACGCCAGTCCAGACAACACGGCCTTGCTCAAAAAGGCACAAGATCAGCAAAGGCCACCAGCGATTGGATCCGCATGCCGACAAGACAGACTCTTGTGCCACCATCCGAAGGCATCTCCTCCATCCAGGACGAACCAGACATAGACAGTCCACCACCCTGAGAAACTCCGTCTAATAAGCAGAACATGAGCTCTCACAAACATGCAAATGCATACATACACAAGTGGTTGTTAGGCTTCGGTCTGGCCGAATATTTTCGATTTTTCCAGTCTTGCAAGTCACGCACTCACTGAGCCAGCAGAGAGCATGCAAGCCAACCTACCACAGAAAGTTGTGGATACACTTCGTCCACTCGCAGAAGACCCGATACCACCGGCTCACCCTTCTGCCACCTAACCGTGTGTAATATGATACCGTGAGTTTGTCGGCTTACGGCACGACCTCCAGGACGGTGAGGTGCCATGCATTCGTGGCCTTGTCTAGGCTTTGTGGAAATTCTTTTCCGCATCACGACTTTGCCGCTATCAGGTTTGCTCTGACCCACTGTTACGAGAAAATATAACTTAGTTTTCATTTATAAGTAGACTTTCAATACTATCAGTAGTTGAATTTGCCCACGATAATCTGAATAGGCATGACGTTTCCCGTTAATTTTACACGGCTTCGCTTCCACAAAGGCATTCTTTGAAATGCACATCTGCCCTGTGACCCAAGGGCACTCGTGGCAGTGTGACGTAGTGGTTAACGTGTTGAGATTGCACGCTACATTGACATGGTTAGAGTACCGCTGGGGAGCTGAATAGGCCTGGAAGAGGTCAAATCTGCTGCCCACA